TCTCTGATCACTGCATGGTCCATCTTATTCCAACCTACAGGCAGAAACTTAAATCTGTGAACCCTGTGGTCAAAACAGTAAAGAGCTGGACTGAGGAGGCTAAGTCAGAGCTACAGGTGCCTGCCCCCACCTGTCAGTGGATTACTAACTTTCTGACAGACAGTAAGCAGTAAGTGAGGCCGGGGAAAACCACATCCACAGGCACCCCCCAGGGATGTGTGCTCTCCCCTCTGCTGTTTTCGCTCTACACCAACGACTGCATCGCTGTCAAGCTCCTAAAGTTTGCAAGACGGTGAAGAGTCAGCCTACAGACATGAGGCTGATTCGCACCATACTTGGTAGCACTGTATCAGCAGTGAAGTCCTACAAGTTCCTGGGCTCCACTATCTCCCAGGACCTGAAGTGGGCATCCAACATCAGGACCATCATCGAGAAGGCACAGCAGAGGATGTACTTCCCGTGCCAGCTCAGGAAGTTCGACCTGCCCCAGGAGCTGCTGATACAGTTCTACAGAGTAATCATGGAGTCTGTTCTCTGCACCTCTGTCACTGTCTGGTTTGGCTCAGCAACCAAACGGGACAGGAACGGACTCCAGCGGACAGTCAGGATTGCAGAAAAGGTCATTGGTGCCCTCCATGGAGGACCTGTACTGTACACCTCACAGATCAAAAGGAGGGCAGAGAGGATCACTGCAGACCCCTCACACCCGGGACATATTTTGTACCCCTCTGGACGGCGTTACAGGTCACTGTATGCCAAGAAAACTAGGCACAAGGACAGTGTTTTCACCCGTGCCGTCGCTCTGATAAACATCTACGACAGTATGACAGTGTGACGGGACAATAACCCTCAGTGCAATACTTTTCCTCAGTGCAATACCTGTAAATATACACTGTACAGATTATACAGATCCTTACAGGTCTCTATTTTAATTCCTATTTATCTCATTTCAATGAACATTCCTTTGTCTGTCTGCATTGTTTACTGCCTGTTTATACTGCTTATTTTGCATTGTTTGTTGCTTGTTAATACTGCTTATTTTGTTATATTACACAGCCTTATGCTGGTTTACTGTTTACTTCCCCCTTTGCATGGGGATATGTACATGACGATGTACCAGAATCAAATTCCTCATGTGTCCGACACACCTGGCCAATAAAGCAGATTCTGATTCTGATTCTGATTCAAACCAGCCAATGTGGCCATGTAATTTCCACAGACAAGTTATACAGGACATCATGGACAAATGCCATGAAATTTATTGTGAAAGGTAAGGTAAGGTAGGACTTTACTGATCCCACAATGGGGAAATTCCCGTGTTCCAGCAGCAATAGAGAGTACCCCATACTTTCGAAGTACCTCCCAGACGATCCCACAAGGGACTCAGTCATAGGCCTTCTCTAAGTCCACAAAGCACATTTAGACTGGATGGGCAAACTTCCATGATCCTTCCAGTAACTGCAAGAGTAAAGAGTTAGTCCAATGTTCCATGACCAGGGCAGAATCCTTGTTCCTCCTAGGTCTGAGGCTTGACAATCAGTCTGGGCCTCCTTTCCAGCACCCTGGCATGAGCTTTCCCAAAGAGGCTGAGTAGTGTGATATTTGGAGCACACTCTCTGGCTCTCTGTTTTAAAAATGGAACCCACCACCCCAGTCTGCCAGTCCTCTGGCACTGTCCCTGTCCATGCAACACTGAAGAAGCATGTCAACCAAGACAGCCCAATTATGTCCAGAGTCTTCAGAATCTCAGGGCAAATCTCATCCACTCCTGGTGCCTTGCCACCAAGGAGCATTTTGACTACCTCGGGGACCTCTGCCAGAGATATGGGTGAGGTTTCCTCTGAGTCTTCTTGGAGGACATGTTTGATGAGTTCAGGAGTTCCTGAAAGTGCTCCTTCTACCACCCAACAGTATCCCCAGTCCAAGTCAGCAGTTCTACCCCAAATACAGCCTGGGGAAAACCCTGCTTTCTCTTCCTAAATCACCGTTTGCCAGAATTTCACTGAGGCTAGCTGAAAGTCCTTCTCCATAGCCTCACCAAACTCCTCCCACACCTGAGTTTCTGCATCTGCAACCATTTGAGCTACAGTCCTTTTGGTTTGCTGTTACTTATCAGCTGCTTCAGAAGAGCCCTGGGTCAACCAAGCCTGGAAGGCCTCCTTCTTCAGCCCAACGGCTTCCTTCACCACTGGTGTCCGCCAGTGGGTAATCAGGTTGCTGCCATGACATGCCCTAATGACCTTCTGGCCACAACTCAGAGTAGCTGCTTCTACAGTGGAGGATTTGAACATGGCCAATTTGACTTCCATGTCGGACAGGTGCTTGAGTCATGCGTTCCCAGCGCACCCTCATTACATGTTACGTCACTCCAAGTCTGAGGCCATGGTGCTTTACCAGAAAATGGTGGACTGCTTTCTCTGTGTTGGGAGTGAGTTACTGCCCCAGGTGAAGGAGTTTAATTATCTGGGGGTCTTTTTCATAAGCAAGGGTAACATTAAGTGTGAGATTAACAGGTGAATAGGGGCAGCATTAGCAGTTATGCAGACAATGTATCAGATAGTCATAGTAAAGAAGGAGCCAAGTTGAAAGGTAAAGCTTTCAATTTACCAGTCAGGCTATGCCCCAGCCCTCACTTATGGTCATGAGCTATGGGTAGTGATTGAATGAATAAGATCATGAATACAAGCGGCCACAATGAGTTTCCTTTGTGGGGTGGCCAGACTTTGTCTTAGAACTAGGATGTGGAGTTCGGACATCCTGAAGGGGTTTGGAGTAGAACTGCCGCTCCTTCACATTGAAAGGGGCCAGTTGAGGTAATTTGGGCATCTTGTCAGGATGCCTCCAGGTTCTTCCCTTTTGGAGGTCTTCTGAGCACATCCAACTCATAGGAGACTCTGGGGTAGACCCATAACACTCTGGGCCGGGAGTGCCTCAAAGTCCTGCCAGAGGAGTTGGAAAACATTGCTGGGGAGATGGATGTCTTGGTTACCTTGCTGAACCTGCTGCCACTGTGACCAATCTCAGATAAGTGGAAGAAAATGTATGGATGGATGCTTATTCATCCACAGAAGAGAGAGTTTGTCACTGCACTGATATTCAGAATTCAACCACTTACTTACCTACTTGCTACTGTAGCTGAAGCTACCAATATGTATGTACTTTTGTTACAGCATCTTAATATAATATAATAATTAGTGTGTGGACACTGGTCCTTGGTTCATTAGCAGACCAAGTTAGATGAGTTAGGATTTTACATACAATAAGTACATGATCAGTTTGGTGGATTTAGTGATGGGAACATAAAAGGATCCACTGTGTCTGGAACAGGCTAGAGCCGTGGTTCTCAAAGTGTGGGGCGCGCCCCACTAGTGGGGAATAAAGACACGACAGGTGGGGCGCAATGAACGGAGAAAATTAGAAATGGGTCATTAATACAAGTAAATTAAAATAACATCAGTTCGAGGCCCGAGGGAAAAAAGTGGAACCATAGTGCAACAATAACGGTTTACTGTCTGCATGTTTAACTGCAGTGCAACAGTATAAGGAAACTTTCACACAGAGGGCCAATAGTGTACGTAGTGGGTATAATAACGTAAATGGATAAATGTGTTACATGGACCACAAAAAAGCAGGCAATTCAGTGCAAGCAGACAAAAAAAAAATGATAGGCAGTAGCCTTATCAACCAAAAAGCCCATGATGAAGCCCATCTTGCGCTTGGATTCATGGTGGGAATGGTGGGGGCAGAGGAGAGACCCATGTGTGTCTTGTGTCTTAAGCCGCTGGCAGCAGACAGCATATCGCATGGTAAAATCTGCATCAGTGGACAGCAAAGCATAAATGGCTTCATTCAAAGTTGCATACAGAATTGCACAGTGCATAAAACCACACACAACTGCTGAGCAGCTCATTCTCCCTGCTGCTGTAGAGATGGTGTCGATTATGCTGGATGAGACAAGTGCTGCAAAATTGAAAACTATCCCTCTGTGAAACGATACAGCTGCACTTTTATTTTATCTGTTTTGAACTTGGTAATATTTGATATTTCAATAAACTCGATATTTTAAAATTGGCCGATTTCGTTATCATTTTTTTGGCAAGTGGGGCTTGAAAATTCGCCCACCCTCTTAAGTGGGGAATGACAAAAAATGTTTGAGAACCACTGTGCTAGAGCAATAAAGCGAAGAAAACAGATGCTATAACTATCTTTTATAAATATCAGTGTAATGCTCCTGGTCAAAGTGTTTCAGTAGTGGGCCAGGACTACGGTAAAGATTGGTTATGCCTGGCTCAGATTGAACGTACTGTATATGACTACATTCTTGGATCTGGTGGTGAATTTTGTGGTCTGGAAGGACAAGCAGATGCATGAACTAAAATGCTGTGCATCACACACTGTACTGAGGTTTTCCCTGCTTAAACAGTCTTTTGTTTATATTGGATTGCAAAGCAGTTTTGACAGATGGACTATTAAGACAATTTTATATAGCAGGTAGTTGCAGCCAAGGATTCTGGTCATATAATTTCCAAAACAGTTTAGTTTAGAATACACTGTAATATCACTTGTCAGTAGAAAACCTTAGATTGGACACGCTGCAATGTATGCGTACACAGGGAATCGAAAAAAAAGGGAAATCAAATTGCTGGGTAGCTTGTAAATGTCCCACTTTGGATCAATAAAGTCTTATAATTTTAGCGTATTTTGTTATATTAATTTCAATCTGAAAAATAACTAGTAACTAAAATGATCAAATAAATATATTGAGTAAAAAATACTACTGTATATATTTCCCTAAGATGTAGTGAAGTTAAGTATGAAGTAGCAGAAAATACAAATACTCAAGTACAGTACAGATACCTCAATTTTACTCAAGTACTGTAGTGAATGTACGTGGTTACTTTCCACCTCTGCTGACTACAATCTTATGACTAGGCAGACATTTTTTTCTGACTGCATTCATTATACTGTAACTTTACATGAGCTCTGGTTTTGTTTTTTAGGTTAAGGCCCATGGCCCCAGCTTCACCCGGCTCCATGCACCCTGGCCAGTATTGTGTCGAGAGGCAGAGTTTCTCAGGATTAAAGTTCCCACCAAAATGGTAGGATCTCAGTATTGATGAGTAGCAGTTTTACACAGATGTTATTTCTGGGTTTGTGAATGAGTGATTTGTGTTGTGTGTTTCATCAGAGTTATGAACTTAAAGAAGAAACTGGTTTTGGATCCAGTATGAGCACAGTGTGGAGGAAGCTGAGTCAACCTTTCCAACCCAAAGTACCACGTCAGGAACAAGGACACACCAAATTTCTTTCACACTGCTTCTCTAGGGAGAAAATCCAAATGTGAGAAACACACACCCACCTACACAGACGCATACATTCAAACACAGTCTCTCATTTTTTAGTTCTTACTGCCACACACACACACACAATCACTACCATGCCTTTTCTGTTAGAAACCAAAGAAGTTGTGGTTTTCACAGAAGAAGAAGCTGAGTTTAAGTGAGACTATGCAACTTTTGAAGCTACTACTACATTTTTTCTAAACAAAGACCTACTTTGTCTGGTAATACTAGCTTAGCTAATATTAGCTCATGTTGTAAACCTTAGATGGCTATGTCCTACTGTAATTGATTCATTTTACTGACTATTTATGCTATTCATGACACTAGACTTTAGCATTTACAATTATCCTGTACTGTTATCTTGTAGTTGTCTGGTCATGCATTTGCTATTTAGTAAAAGTTATACAGGCTCACTTTTACAAAGGTTTTGGTCAACATATTGTACATATATCACCTAATAAGAACAAAATTTCATATCCTTGGGTGGTTGTTGCTCCTGTAATCTGTGTCAGCTTTATACAGCACTAAAGCCTTAGCATTAGCAATCATGCCAATCTTGTGTACAGTACTGAGCACCATTATTTGTAGGGGCAGATCTAGAAAATATTGGCTGGAGTGGTCATGCTGGGGCACAGACTCAGAGAGGGGTGGTACATTTGAAATACATGTAAAAATGTATTGTAAATGAAACCCCTAGTTCTATGAAATAATAACCTGTTTGTAAGGGTCTATCACACAAAACTGCCAAATGTTGAGAGGAAAGAGACAGAAAAGAATAAGGAATTTGAAATGCGAATTTCAAAATGAAACAATACGCAAATCAATGACCATGCAAAAGAGCATAACTTCAAATTTGGAGATATTATGTACATTGCCAGTATGTAAAGTGGCAAACTGGATGCCAGGTACAAGAATACTTGCTATGTGTTGATAAGAAACACATCACCAAATGCCTTTTAACTGTTAACATAGAAGATGGGTTTACCATGATTAGAAGTGTGAAAGACATTCATTATGCTCCTATGCCACAAGAGGTCCACATTCCTGAACTGACATCGGAGCCATTAGAACAGCCAATCATGCAAGCAAAGGAAACTGAAGAACCACAAAGCAGCAGAGCAGCTGAAAGAATTCTGGAAAGTCTAGTGGTTCCTTAAAAACACTTGACTACGAGATCAGGTAGAGTTATCAAGAAGCCTGAACGCTTTAGGGATATGGTGACCTAAAAGAAAAGAGAACTTGTACAAAGATGTTAAAGTATAGTTAAGTGTCTTGAAGAATGTTGGTTAATGAGAGAGTTGTGCCATTTAAGATATTAAATATAAGCTATAGGATAAAGATGTTTTTTGGAGATAATTTATGTTAAAATAAAGAAGCATTTAAAAAATGTTACAATGCAAAGTACCACTAAGAAGGCTTTGTTAAGAATGGTATGTTTAAAGCTCCACGGGGAGATAATATGTATTACAGTCAATAAGGTGAGATAGGACAAGGTTAGGAAGGGGACTGGAAGTTCTGAGAAAAGAAGAAGCTGAAGTGTGTACATGCCTGTGATTATGAGCTACAATAAAATACACAAAAGACATATATGTCCTTTTTTGTCAGTACCCCACCACAATACACATGGTAGATTTTGGTGTTCTGAAATAGCTGGCAGGTTGTGCTGATCATTTTTCAGTTAAACTAGTGCTTTTATTAAAAAGCTGTCTGCATGTGAAGCTTTACACATGCATTTTCTTTTACTTGAGCTTTTATTCACTGGTTGTATTTTTTTCAGGTACAACATCACATCCAAAGAGACATTCTTTGACAGCACTACAAGGAGTCGAATAGTAAGTGGTCATATATTATAATCTGTTTCTCCTATGTGGTATTTTTCTCCAGGATTAGTTTATATTTTCAGTCTAATGGACTAAATTCTCTCCTAGGTGTATGAGATCCTGAGACGGACAGTGTGTGTACGAACCTGTCAAACCATAGGTGAGAATAACACTTAATTGGCAAGACAATTGGGAAGAGTTTTTAGAACATAGGCTGCATTTGCCAGCACTGTCCTTTCCTAACAGTGATATGTGCATTTGTCCTTGGTGATGAAATGAATGATGTTACATGGAGCCATTCTAGATTTTCTACTGTATGTTTGCTGCAGGCATAAGCTTCTGACAAGCATCACTGAATTTTCCATTAGGTTGTTTCTAGTCAGAAATGGTGCACACAATAATTGATGACTTTTTAGTCTTTGTAGTAGCACAGTCATCTGTCAGTTCAAAAGCAGTTCAGAATGTCTGTCGACAACAGGTTGGAGTATGTTCAAACTTGATTGGATTGGGTGTTTTTGGAAAATTAAAAATCCCAGCAGAATGTTGGGTAATAGCTGAGTCATTGAGAATCAACAACATCCTGATGAACTCCCAGAGGACATGTTTTTTTTCCTGTTGTGAGGTTTTGAAAATCTTATTTAGTGTACTTTTTTTGGTGTTTTTGTTTGCAAGACAAAAGTCGGGTCCTGAACATGACAGGACAAGGAAAACAAAAGGAAAAGGAATGCAGGACAGTTACAAAAGGAAAAAGGCCTCTAAGGAATATATATTTTCAAATGTTGATAGTGTCAGTTTGATGTTGGTTTATACAGGTGTGCAGTGCATGAGTATGAGTGGATGTCAGTATGTGAGAAAGATATAAATATAAACCACTACTAATAGTATTTTGCTATAGGTACTCCTAATATGATTACAACCATGACAGTACTACCACCAATAATAACAATACTGATAATAAAGTCAGGGAGGGCTTTGGCAAATCAGTTCAATTAAATTAAATTCAACTCAATGCACTTCAATTTGTATAGCACAACAAAAGTAATCTCAGAGCACTTTACATAGTAAGGTCTAGACATTATTATTATTATAGAGGAAAAACTCCACAAATCCCTCTTGTGCAAGCACTTGGCGACAACGGGGAGGAAAAACTCCTGTTAATGAACAAAACCTCCGACAGACCCCAGCTCTTGCTGGGTGGCCTTCTGCCTTGACCGGTTGGGGTGAGCTGCTAGAGGAGAGAGAAATAAAAATCAACAAGACACAACAAACAAAACAACAACATATGTTGAACGTCGGAGCCAGGGATACCTGCTGAATGGTACAGGAAGAGAAAGAGCAGACAATGGAAGGAGAAGAGGAGACACCAAGTTAATGACATGTAATGTGGCATATACATTAAATAAATACATGGAAGTGGAAGGACAGGAGAGGAGAGGAGCTTAGAGCATTATGGGAGCACCCCCAGCAGTCTAGGCTATAGGAGCATACCAAAGGGTTACCCGAGCCAGCCCTAAATATAAACTTTATCAAAAAGGGAAGTTTTACTCTTAAAATGTAGAGTGGGTGTTTGCCACAGGCATTGTTAGACCTCTTTTACTGGGGCACATGCCAGCAGGCAGAACAGGAAGGGGGTAGAGTGGCTGGTCCAGCGTAGAGTGGGATTGTCAGAATTGGTGCTGGGCAGGTTGTGTTGGAGCTGGACAGACAGCCAGAAGAGAGCAGGCCGGTGGGACAGAAGTTGAGCTGGGCTGACAGGGCAGGAGAAATGGGCTGTGTGAGTCCACTGCAGTACCTGGGATCTGACCATATCAGGCACGAACAGACGGTCGGAGGGTCCAGTGTGTCTCTCTCTGCCTCTCTTGCTGCTTGTTCAGTTTCCCAGATGACTGCAGCGACCACACATGAAGGTGGAAGAATGGGCTCAGGGTCAGTGGAGTCTTGCGCAGACCCGAATTGTCAGGACAGGGCATCTGGTTTAATGTTGCGGGACCCCAGGCGGTAGGTTATGGAGAAGTTGAAGCATCCGATGAATAGTGCCCACCGAGCCTGGTAGGAATTCAGCTGTTTGGGTGTCTGAAGGCAGGCTAGGTTTTTGTGGTCAGTTCAAACCATGAACGGCTCTTCTGTACCCTCTAACACATGGCCCCACTCTTCCAGTGCCAACTTAATGGCCATTAGCTCCCTATTCCCTACATTGTAGTTGTGCTCTGCTGGGCTTAGCCACTTCAAAAAAAAAAGTGTACAGATGGAGGGATCAGTCCTTCTCAGAGCATTGGGAAAGGGCTGCTCCAACTCCCATGTCTGAAGCATCTCCTTCCACGATAAACTGTCTGGAAGAGTCGGGCTGGATGAAAACAGGAGCAGATGTGGACCTTTCCTTAAGTCTGAGAAATGTTTGCTCAGCCTCTTCCGTCCAGAAAAACTTGGTAACTGTGGAGGTAAGTCTGGTGAAAGGGACATCTATTGAACTATAATTGTGTACGGTAGAAGTTGGCAAACTTAAGGAAATGTTGAAGCTCCTTGCGGGTACTGGGAGTTGGCCATTCTATGACAGCTCTTATCTTCTTTGGGTCCGCTCTCACCTTGCCTCTCTCAATCACATACCTGAGAAAGGTGTCAGAGCTGGCGTGGAACTCACACTTCTTGGCTTTCATGAAAAGGCAGTTTTATCGGAGTCTCTGCAGCACCTGATGGACATGTTGGTAGTGTTCCAGCGGGGTATGGGAGAAAATGAGGATGCTGTCCAACTAGATAAACACAAACCAGTTCAGGAAATCTTGGAGGACATCATTCACTAAAGTCTGAAATATGTCTGGCGCATTAGTGAGTCCAAAGGGCATTACCTGGTCTTCGAAATGGACCAGGGGTGTTTTAAAAGCCGTCTTCCACACATCTCCCTCTCAAAAATGGACTAAATGGTATGCTTATGGAGATCAAGGTTAGTGAAGATGGTGGCTCCCTGCACTGACTTGAAGGCTGAGTTCAGAAGAGGCAGAGGGTATTTATTTTTGACTGTGATGGCGTTTAGACCACGATAGTTGATGCAGGGTCATAGGGAGCCATCCTTCTTCTCTATGAAAAGAAACCCTGCACCAAGCGGAGAAGAAGACGGTCGGATGAGTTTGGCCTGTAAGGAGTCTCTAATGTACCTTTCCATGGCCTGTCTCTCTGGTTTGGACACACTATTTACAGTGCCCATAAAAAGTATTAATTGGCATTACTTTGTAGAAACCTGTTTGACATTAAAGAGGTTTTTTGTAATTTATTTTGTCAAAAAGGCCAAATTCTATTGACCATGATTGATTTATAAAATCAATAAAAGGGTAAAACATCCAAGGGGGTGAATACTTTTACTGAGGCACTGTAGCATACTGGAGGGTAAATGGGCTCCTAGTAGGAGGTCAGTGGTGCAGTCATAGGGTTTATGGGGTGGTAGAGAGAGAGCCAAATCCTTACTGGCAGAGCAAGAGTAGAGCCAGGCTGACAGGGCAGGAGTAGGACAGGGCCAGACAGTACAGGTGCAGAGCAAGGCTGGCAGTTCAGGTGCCGTGCTGGGTTTGGTGTCTGGGAATGGAGCTGACAGGTTGTATGGAGCTGAGCTGAGCAGATTGTATAGAGTTGGGCTAGCCAGGTAAAATAAGATAAGATAAGAATTTTTTATTGTCATTGTAACACGTACAACGAAAATTTAAAGTGACCTCCAGTCGGTACAGCCATAAGAAAAAACATGTAGGAAGCTAATAATTGCTTGAGGGGGACTGTTTATTAAGAGTTGGCAGTCAAATGATATTGTGGCCTTGATTGAGAGGAGGAATAAGGTGACCCAGTCTTCTCTCCCTATGCTGTCAGTGATGCTTGTTTCCCTTTAAGGATGAGGTACTGTGGAAAATCTTCTCTGACACTGCAGCTGCAATGTTTGGCTGAGACACTCAAATACAAGTGAGCTTTTGTTGGGGGGTTAGAATACAGGTGAAGTGAGAGGTGAAATGGATATGCCTGTTTGACGTGGAGTTCAGTGGTAACCCAATCAAGGAGAGCAATGATTGGATAAGTGGATGAGATCAGCATCTTTTTAGCTCGAATTTGTTTGAGAAGGGGCAGAACCTGTTTTGGCTTTGAAGCCACACCCTGTACCCTCCAGGCTTTTCCTGGAAAGAGGCTTGGCTCATTAACAATTGCTTCAACTGCAGACATCCACTGGGACGATGAGCAATTAAAGTCCAGGCTTACCTCAGCAGAGGTGTCAGTTGTTTGTGAGTTTATAGGCAAAATTGAGCAGACGCTGTTGAAGTGACAACAACAAAAAACTCTACATATGTATGAAACACAAAAAATATTGTCAATAAGGCTTAATCCTACTTTTCTTATACTGTGTATAAATGGATCTCCCTCGAGATTTTCTAAGTGAACTGCATGTCATTTAGCTCCCACTGCATTCAGGTTAACTCAGATCTTGCTTTAGTGTTTATGTATAGATACATTTTAATGACATGAAGATAACTGCTTTCACTGCCTTTATGACACCTATCAGTCCCATATAGAAAAGAGGTGACACTTGTCAAGTGTCCACCATATGTCTGATTGGCTTACCCATCACAGCAGAAGGTCTCAGCCAGCGGGTACTCATGGACCTGTAAGGGAAGGGGGGGAACAGAGCTACAGCTCTATTTTCACTTTGCCCTCGATTCTTGGTGTGTAAATCTTGTTACACTTACACAGAGAGAGCATTCTCCTCCATCTCCTCTACAAGTGGGTCATCATACATCCTGGGTCGGGCTGACATTTAAACAGGGGCCTCTGAGAGTTGTGGTTGTTTCTGGTTGAGTGAGCAATTATGCTTGTGTGTGTGGGTGAGTGAGTGAGTGTTGGTCATGATGTTTATTAATAGCATAGCGACCATCACTGCGTGGTTCCCAGTCCCCTCTGAGGCATTGATAATTAATTGATTAGTTACTGTTTTGAAAGAGTCAGTTGTGTGTGCCAGGTTATGTGATGTGTCAGTGTCTGTTCTGACCTTCAGAGCTCAGGTCATCACTTCCCTCATGAAATTTTCCAAAGATTAAAAGTGGCATCTAACTTAGTCCCTGTCTGCCTGACACTGAAAAACAGAACTGAAAAACACATCCATATTAGATCTGATCAAACTTTCTCTATTAACAGGCTATGTTCCACAGGCTTTTAAGGTTACTATAATTATACCTCTACTAGAAAAGCCTACTCTGGTCTGGTTCTATCTAATTATAGACCAATATCCAATGTCCCCTTTATTTATTAAATCATTGAAAAAGCTTTTGCAAAGCAGTTATGTGACCACTTGCACAAGAATGTTTTGTTTGAGGATTTTCAGTCAGGATTTAGAGTCCACCATGATACAGAAACTTCACTGGTGAAAGTCACCAACAATCTCATATTAGTTACTCTAGATGACAGATCTCTGGCATCCAGTACTGCTATCAGGATCCTTGGAGTCATTGACCAGGATATGTCCTTTAAATCACACATAAACCAAGTCTCTAGAACTATCTTCTTTCATCTGCATAATATCACCAAAATCAGGAATATCCTGTCTCAGTGATGCTCAAAAACTAGTCCATGCATCCAGAATAGAATTTAAAATGCTACTCCTAACAAACAAAGCCCTTAATGACAAGACTCCATCGTATCTTAAAGACCTCATAGTGCCCTATCATTGCAACAGAGCACATTTCTCTCAGAGTGCAGGTCTGCTTGTGGTTCCTAGAGTCTACAGAAGTAGAATAGGAGGCAGAGCTTCTAGCTATCAAGCTCCTCTCCTGTGGAACCAGCTCCCAGTCTTAGTTTGGGAGGCAGACACCCTCTCTACCTTTAAGATTAGACTTAAGACTTTCCTTTTTGATAAAGCTTATAGTTAGGGCTGGACCCGAGCCTTCCCTTACTAGACCCTGAGCCTTCCCTTAGTTATGCTGCTATATGCCTAGGCTGCTGGGGGCCCCACGATGCTCTGAGTTTCTCTCCTCTCTCTCCATGCATCTATATGCCACCATTACATGTCATCTTTTTGCTTTTCTTTTCTTTTTTTTTGTTCTCTATCCACTCACCCCAACCGGTCGAGTTGGGGTCTGTCGGAGGTTTCTTCCTTTAAAGGGAGTTTTTCCTCTCCACTGTCGCCAAATGCTTGCTCAAGGGGGATTTGTTGGGTTTTTCCTCTATAATAATGACAATAGTAAGGTCTAGACCTTACTTTGTAAAGTGTCCCAAGAGGACTTTTTTGTAATTTGGTGCTATACAAATAAAATAAAATTGAATTGAAAAGCTAAAACAGTGCAGGTTGCAGCTGGTGTGCAACATCTAATGTGTAATACATGATGGCTGAATTTTAGATTCCATGACAGGTATGAATATAGAAAAACTGCTCAATTTTCAGACACAGACAACAAAGACGTGATGTATAATTTGTCAAGTTAGGCAACATCAAGTTCAAGTGCAGGCTCAAACCCACTTTGCAGAAGTGTCCTAACAAGATGCCTAATCTGACTAAGGTAGAAGAAGAATGTCTTTCTAAGGAGTCAATAAAATATCAAATCATAAGTGCAGTGTGTAATACTTGATGTAGGAGAAGGGGCTATTTTACAGTGCCTATTTCTTGCCAAATCTTGGTGCTATTTGGTGTAAAGTCATTCCTCAGTTGTGTATAAATGTAAGTGCACATGGTTGTTTGTCAGCATCAAACATTACTGACTTCTTGAATTTGTTGGTCAAAACTTACTTGTTTTAAAGCTAACTTTTAAGCCTAAATGATTTTGAAGGAAACATTCTTGACGAATATTTGGATGGATCATTTTCTTCTGCTTGACTTACATCTCTGCTCTCTTTCTTTTCCAGGCATCAACACATTGATAGCTAAAGGTGCATATGAGGCTGCCTTCCCTCTTCACGATGTAAGTTTGAAATTCCCAGCAGGAGCTCACTGATTTTAGTTTATTTCACTATAATATGTAATTTGCAGAGAACAGAAACTTTTTTGAGATCACAGTCAATTCTTTCTTGCATTGTGGTCTTCTGTTACTGTGCTGTGTGGCCAAAAAGCCACATCTTTAATGAAAGAATTCACAGGCATCTTAGAAGCACAAATGAGGAAGACTTCTCAGATCAGGTCCTGCACTCTGCTGCATTAGCATTTTATGATAAAATAACTTTTTCAGTTTACTATCTCAAGCAAGATTTAAGTCTTTGTAGGTTGATTTTTCACTGAAATAAACTGAAGCAATACATGCACTATTTAATGTGTTTAAAACATGCAGCACCACTAGTTTGGCACTTTTAAAAGTAAATCTATTGTTTAGTTGGACTTGGGAGTGTTAAAATGACAGTGAAACATACAGCAGCAAGAAATGGTGGCTTCTCTGTATCTGTATGTGTGTTTGTAGAGAGTTATGAATGTTAAATGATGTGTATTTCGACAGCTGGTATTTGATTCTATTAACTGTATTTTGGCGTGTGAATATGTTAATGTGTATTTCTGAATGTCTAAATAAAGGAGTAGTGTTCCATTATTGTTTGAGCTTGTGTACCTTTATACTCATGCTTTTCACCCTCGTATTACTCCTCAGGGTGACTATCATCACACCGCCAATGAAAACCCTGAGGAGAAGAATGACAGGCAGGTGCGTAAACCCCTCCCTCATTTCTCTCTCTCTCTCTCTCTCTCTCTCTCTCTTATCTTCTTCCTCTTGAATTTTCTGTCTAATGAAAACCTACAAAAACTTTCATACATTTGTCTTGCTGTGGTACTGTACTTAAGAAAGTGACCTTGTTAATCCTTCATCTGAAAGTAAGTTATTCTTGAACTTTGAACTTGAAATACACTTGAAAAACTGAAAAGCAAGGGAACCTAGTCATGGCATTTCCATAACAAGACCTAAAACACAGGAATCAGACATGAGATTTGTTCATGGTAACAATCTGGTTCACCCTTTTCTTCTATCTGTAGTAGCTGGATTTACTGTCCCATCACATTCCCTAACCATTGCAATAATATAATATGCATACATATAATGTGCATTCAACAGTATAACATGCATACACGTTTTCAGGGTGGTTCTGTGGATGGCTGCCTTGGTTGAGTGCTTTCTTGTGCTTTTGCTGTTTTTGTTTATTTTTTCAGTTGTCTCCAATCCATCTCAAATTACTTTCCAAAGAGAAGAGGTCATAAACATCCATCAACTCACTCCATGCATTTTTCCTTCTGTAATTACTAACACAAGAAGCTGTGTGGACATTTTACTCAAAGGAGCAACAGCTTTTTATTGGACATGAAGAAGATGCAGGTGGGGTGGGGCAGTGCTCTGGTGATCTTATGACAGTGTGAAACCCGAATGCTGCTGTTGTCTAGCCACGTAGTGAATCTTCATAATTTTTCATGTTCTGCTGCTCTGTGTTTCACCGAGACCTGGCTCAGTGAGTCCATCCCAACAGTGCATTATAGCTGCCGGGCTTCCATCTCCACAGAGCGGACCATGTAACAGAGCTATCTGGGAAAATGTGAGGAGGCGGAATCTACTTCTACATAAATGAGGGTCGGTGTAAAAATGTCACAGTCTTGGGAAAAAAACTGTAACATTAGCTTAGAGGCTCTATTCATCCACTGTAAACCATTTTATTCATCATGGGAGTTTTCATTGCTTATTCTGATCAGTGTTTACATCCCACTTAGGGCCCATGTTAGCAAGGTGCTACAGCACCAGGCTGACCATATTACTTGCATGGAACTGAAACATCCACACTCCCTACTCATTGTCTTAGGGCAGGAGTTTTCCTGGACATTTTTAACCTGTCCCTGCACCTTGCCGCAGTCCCTGTGTGCCTCAAGTCTGAAACTAAAATTCAGTCTGTCATCCCACCTGTGGTCTTCACCTTCTACACTAATAACTGCAGAAGCCTAAACCTGGACATAACCATTAAGTATTCGGATGATACAGTTTTAGTGGATATTACAAATTCTGAAGAGCAGCTCCATACTGAGATAGACAGATTTGCTGAGTGGTGCAGGGAAAACTGCCTGGACCTCAACATATCAAAAAGAAAAAAGAGCTGCTCATTGACTTTCGCCATGGACAATGTGCTGTAACGGCCAGCCCATTGAGACGGTTGAGGCATATAAATACCTCAGTATCATGATTTATAATAAATACACATTCAAAACTAACAGTGAAATCATCTATTCCAAGTGCCAGCATTGCCTCTTGTTATGATTTGGACTTGCTTCCTGTTTTCATGCTTTTATTTTGTATTGTTTTTCCTGTTCCGCTCCACTTCTCCTGCCCAAGCTTTACCACGGTTCCCATTCATTGTCTTCACCTGTTGCCAATCATCCCCTGGTTTTCAGTCATATATGCCACCTCCTTTCCCTCAGTCACTCATTGGCCAATTATGCTGTTCATTGTGCCCTTCTGGTTTGCGTAGTTGCACTCACTATGTCCAGACAGCCAAGACCAAAGCACTGTTTTCCTGAAGGTTTCCCTTGCTCATTCTCTGTTATGGTTACTCTCTAGCCGGATGGTGAGAGAGGAACCAAGCTGGACCCAGAATGCAGAGTATCGATTCAGGTAATTCAAGTGTGCTTTTATTACAAATTATAGTAAGTAACAGATGGAGAAAATAATGATGAAGGTGCTGGCCTCAGACTAGGCTGATGGAGATAGGAGGATCGACCAGAACCAGCACCAAGGGAATTGATAGTGAACCCGTCACTCTGGCTGGCAGGACTAGAGTAGAGGGGTCGGGAAACTAGTGCACTGGGTCCTGGGAGAATACAGGACAGAAGAGAAGTTGGTTATAGTTGAATAAGGTGGCTAGACACATGGAGACCTGGGTCTGGTCACGATCTCCACTGGGAAGAGAGCGGACAAACAGCTCAGGTGGAATAATGCTGAAGGCAGGTGGGTTCCTGCTGTACGTCTGTGTAGAGGTGAGCGGTAGCTGTGGCTCGTGCTGAAGGTTGCAGCTGAGGAGTGGCCCAGGTGGAGTGTTGACAGTAATGAGGAAGTTGCTGCTGGAGATAAGTAGTTGTGAGTGGTGGCTGTGGCTCGTGTTGGAGGCTGAGGAGTGGTGTGTAGCACAGAGGTGAGTGCTGGGAGTAGCAGCAGAGAACCAGCCCAGAAGAGATGGTGCCGGTGACAGGCGAGCCGCTGCTGTAGGCTGAGGAGCGGTGCATAGCACAGAGGTGAGTGCAGAAACAAATAAAAAGTCTTGCTTGAGTAAATAGTTGATGATTATAGAAACGAGTCTGTAGTCAACTGGAGGAGCCGAACTTCATGGTTAATTACACACACAATGACCTGGCAGAGAATGAGCATCTGCTTTAGGTTTAAGTAGTGAAGCTGGTAATCGGGGAAATGCACCACAGCGCTGAGTCGTACCAGGGAACCTGAATCTGAGGAGTGAAAAAGAGTGAGAGGCAAGTCATGCCGGGCAAACCTGACATTCTCAGCCAGCAGTTTACCTGAACTCTCCGACGCCGAGTAAGTCTCTTCTTGCTCAGTGTCTGTACTTGCCTGTTATCCACATTGCTGCCTGGCTAGCACTCATCTTACCTGAACTCTCTGATGCTGAGTAAATCTCCTCCCACTCAGTGTCTTGTTATCCACGCTGCTGTCTGGCTAGCTCCTGAAATGGTTAAGATGGTTAAGACTCAGCTACCTGAACTCCTTTATGCTGAGCAGGTCCCCTTCAGCTCTGTTTATTTATCCTGTGACCTATGCTGCTGCCTGGCTAGTTCCTTAGACTTGTACTCAGTTATCTGAATTCCTCAAAGATGAGTTGTCCCTGCTAGCCCTGTGTCAGAACTTGCCTGTTATCCATACCACGACCTGGCTACCTCCTGCATCAGCCACACTCACTCAGCTAAACTCCTTGATGACCCGCAATGCCACACAGCCACTGCCTGGCTAGTAATTTAGACTTGTACTCAGTTATCAGTCTTCGTCCACTTTACTTTCACCAATCACCTGGATCATCTCTCTGCCTCCTGGGTTCCAACCAAACCAGCAGCTGTCTTTCTCAGTCCCTCAACCTCCTGTGACAATGACCCGACTAGCTCCAGACCTGCCACCGCTGCTCACCTGAGCCTCCTCACAGCAGCTGGGGTGGCCTCAACCTGTTATCTATTGCTCTAGCGCTTGCAATAAAGTATTTTGAATTTCCTGTCCGAGTCTGCCATTGAGTCCTTCTGTCCTGAACTGGTGTCTCTACATCGTAACACTTCTTGAATAAACTTTGTAAAATGCAGGGTCATCAGTCAGTACTACTTGCTTTCTACAGGTGCTTCATTGAATGAATTCTTACTTTCAACATAACAACCTGGTGTGGTGCTATGAGCAACGTACCCCTCAACCCTCTCAACAAAATTGTCAAACTAAGCAGTAAAATCATTGGACTGGATCTGGAGTCTCTGAGCAGCATCTATAATAGGACTAAAAAGAAGGGACTACAAATAGCCTCAGACTCCACATGCATACTACACAATACCTACATTTATAGTCAAGACGCAGATGCATATCTCCCCACTTTAGGACAAAGCATGCCATGTCTAGCTTTGTGCCCTTCTCTATAACACTCTGTAATGCATAGCAACTCTGTGCATTATTTATCTATTTATTCATGTAAATCCCTTTTAGTCTAACTTATTTTTGACGGTCTTAACTTAAACAATTTTTTAAATTGTACCTGTTTGTTTCCCCCCCCTCCTTTTGTGAATGTATGTAATTTTTAGTTACCTACAAAGCACATTGAAAGCCACTGTACCGGAGTCAACATACTTGGCTGATAAAGCCGATTCTGTTTTGATGAAAGTGAGTTGCTGCAAAGCATAGCATTATTTCCAAAATTACTACTAGAAATAAACAAGTCATCCCATAAAAATACTGCCTGTGTATGCTGTCGGGGCAGAATGCCATAGATTCTATTATAGTAATGACATGATACTGGGTCATGTGAGTCTGGTAACAAAACACAACAGGCTGAACTATCATGTTTCAACACTACTTCTGTGTGATTCCAGTGGGAGTCAGAGCTGAAAGTGCTACTGTATTGTTCTGCATGTAATTATAGCATATGGATATGTAGTATATGGTGAGCATAATGTTATTTACAGTATATAACTTTATTTACTTATACTAAAGTGGTAGTCCTTTCTCCTAGCAATATACAATAATGATATGGATCTATAGTATTAAACTAGGCCAACTCCCTACCAATCCTATGGCCTTACTTTGCTCTGGTGCTTTTGGGAACTGCTAAAAATGTCATTGATGTAGTAAGATGAGCTAAATGGCTAAATCTGGCAATTTATTGGACTGGAAGTATAAACGGTATCTCCACATATCCAATGATACTAAAGGTTTTATTGCCTGGATTGTGGAGCTCCTAGGTCTATTGGATTATACCACCATTTCTCCTTTTTCCTGTGGGGATTTGAGGCATCCAAGTGTGTATTTTAAAGTTTTCTCTCTGGCTGGTGGGGAGGATGTTTCATCATACACCAGGATGATACACAGGATGACAGTTACAACTAGAAGGGCTAAAAGACAATAGCCTCCTTGTTCTTGATGGTTTTCTACCTATTGATTAAAATGGCATTAATTTTTATTTTTTATTATTTCTACTTCTACACTGCTGCTACCATCTAAGAGTGGCTTTGATCTTTGGCTCCTCTTCTTTTCTTGTTTATGTCCAAAGTTTGGCTGTCTTTCTCACTACCATCATCAATTTCTGAATTGCTTGTCAGTTCTTTTGCAGTGACTGTTGTGAATCCACATTGTCCCCTCACTCACTTTCAGTGTTGTAGGAGTGTTTAGAAGCACCATGGCCTCCTACAATATTTCTGTCCGATGTCTTTTATCAGGATCCAGTCTTTTGGTTCTAGGTCATGCAGAGGTGAATCCTTTGAGTGAAGGAGGGCTGCAGCAATCTATGTATAGACAGATCTCAACATTTTGTTCAACTGAATACACTAAGCATTGTAAACTTCAAAAGATATGTGTTACGTAACTCTTATCCTGTTGGAGCAATTCCACTGCCCATGGGCTGACCTGTGAGAATTTCCAATGCTGACAACCTTTACCCATCTCTATACAACCTTTCAACAGTTTGTTTATCAGAGAATCAGTAATGACAATGGGACACTGAAAAACAGTTTTTCAGAGCCCCATTGTTGTTACTGATTCTCTTTGGGATGCCACATCTAGGCAAAATGTCTCTTTGAGTTAGCATCAGCATGTGGGAAAACTGCCATCCATTTACAGAACAGCTCTACAGTTTCTAGACAGTATTTCCTAACACTGTTTATTCAAAGCTTAAGCTGTGATGCATATCATTTGGAGTTCTATAATGAGAGTGCATGCATTTCCTGTCTGTTTACACGCTCTGCTTATCCATGCATCCAGACCTAAATTTAGTTAAGAGGCTCACTTTAAAAAACAGTGTTTGATTTATTCAACATTTTTACATTAGTCATTTTTATCACAAACGCCACTTTTCTTAACAGCTTCATGTCCCATTTTTTATTCTTTTTTTTTTCATTAATTGTTCCTCCATCCTATTTGCCTACCCAAGTCACAGAATGGAGTTTAACTTCACTAAACATTTCTTTGAAGTAGTGTGTGTGGGGAAAAAAAATCACTGAGTGACTCAAATTTCAAATAACTGGGCAAAACAAAAACTTTAGTTTTTAGGAGTGCTGTTTAGCACAGTGAAAGAACAGCAAACAAAGAACTCTGGTCAAAATATACAAATTAAAAAGAACAGCTTCTTTATCCATTCAGTCATTATTTATGGCATTCATGTATTGGACTGTTAAACGAGATCATTTATTGCGGCTACGTTATAATATTTCAGCATCAAGTGTCAGACTTCTTCCTCTGCTCTTACCGTGTTTCACTTGGCTTCAAGATAATGTAACTTAAACTGCAGCTCTTCATTCTCTGAGGATTAACTCAACAAATCAGAATATTTCTGCCTCCAGATCAGCTCTGCCTTTGAAGATTGCTGATTTTCAACTTGCTATAAGTGGTAAACTTACAACATGAAAACATACATCCACATTGACTGTGTATCTCTCTCTTTCCTGTCTCTTGTCAGATTCTGTATGAAGAGTGGGCCAGCTACTCATCCTTTTTCAAGTATCAGCCCATTGATCTTGTCAGGTAACATGACCGTAACACGAAAATGCGGAAATCACATTAGTAACCTCAGTAACTCCTCAGGTCCTAATATTTTCTAATTTGCTGCTTGACTGTTACAGACTTTCTTTACCTGAGTAGCAACAGACATGCTACAAGGATACAGTAGTTGCAATGCATTATGGTTACTGTAATTTATTCAATTAACAATACATTTATAGTTTGAAATGTACTTTGATTTTAATCACTACCTCAGTGTATCAAAGCACTTTTGTTTTGGGTTTTTTGCTTTGTTTTGTTAATACAAAACTCATATTCTAAACTGTTGCTGATTGCTGATGTCATACAGATGTAGGCATTCAAAGTGTCATACTTTTCACTGCATCGTATTTGCAGTGCCGTGTCGGTGGCGCTGCATCAATAATGCAGTGCTTTTCACCCTAGATGAGGCTCACATAATCCAACCTGCAGTTCTCCTTCTGGCCACCAGATGTCATAAAGCCTATTATACTGTCCACCAACAGTATATATTTCGGAAGTGTGAGAACATAGTTATATATTATATGTTGGGTTTTATGTCTCTAATCAAAGATCTACTGCATTAAACATGGTTAACACAGCACCATAAGTTACTGGCATAGAGTAGTGAACATGTACAGTATGCTTGCAAAGAATGGTAAATGGTCTTATACTTGTATAGCGCTTTTCTATAGATTGCAGCACACTCAAAGCGCTTTCACACTATTTGGCCATTCACTCATTGCACTCACCGGTGTCATCACCGGGAGCAACTGGGGGTTCAGTGAGTTAGATGTCACTTTTCAGCATCTGGCGCTGCCCCCACCTGTTCAAAGAGCCTAGTAGTGGTTCACCCAAGGCACGTAGACTCAAACTCAAGTATCCAAAATACCAGTGCTATGCTTTGCAGCTTCGCTATCCCCTTCAAACAGTAACAAGAAGCTGCTGTGTCTGTAGAGAAAGGCAGGGCTTTATTCATGCAATAAGACGTTGCATCAGAATATTATCCAACAATCAAACACAGTCACTAAAAAAAAAGAGTTGCGCAGAAACATTTTAGGAGTCACAGTGACCTAAGAATTAGGTTATAAGGGAGGGGTGGTTTAAAAAAACTGCACATCCATCCATAACATTCACATCCATTCCCTTAAAAACTTAACTGCGTTTGCAGTTTCGTTGCATACTCTAGGAACGTAGCTTTTAGGAGAGAGGGCTGGCTGGTTTGTCCAAACGAAAATCTACAAAATATTAAACTAACGTCACAATCTACACACAATATAATCATGGTTTAAAGTGCAGCCAGACCACAGGGCTTTTTCTTTACTTCTAAATACACATTCGTATAGCAGCCTACTGTATGGGCTATGGTTTTTGTACTGTATGCATAGAGTGCTGCACCTATGAGTGTAGGCTGAGCACCACCTACAGACATTATACTGTACACAACATGCTTTTCATTTATTTTGCAAAAAAGTTAAATGTTTGGCTTAAAATTCTGGCTAAGACCATAGGGGGCATAGGAACATAAACACTTCACTGTGAAACATTTGTCAGAGCTTAATTATTAAAAGAATATTGTAGATTTTGTAATTAGTGCGAACAAAAAAATACAGCTTTGTTGTTTTTATATAAAAATGGCCACATGGGCTAAAGTGCAGCATAAACTAAACACACACTGTACACTCATTCAAAACAACACTTCTTTGTTCATTCCATTTTCATGTTCTTTTGCAAGATGATTAGTTTGTTCACATCCTTGGGCACAAGACAAGATCTATTAGAGAATACTATTTCACTCAGTACAGATGTACATGAGATAACACTGTTTTATCCACCACCATTTAGATGAATTTTTACACGCTTGTCATGCAACAGATAGAATTCCAGTCAATCAAATGTGTCAACTGACAGCGAGTGCGTAACAGGCACGTCACCCATTCTGGCAGGTTTAGTGAGGCATAATCTCCACAGACAGCTATTTAAATCACTCAGATCTCTAGTTATTTTCTGTTTTTACTTTTTACTGACTGATCAGCTCCTGATGTAACTGAGCAATTTGGTTTCACTTTACCCTTGCTGTAGTGAGCCAAAGAAATTCAGTACAATTGGGCTAATAAATTCATTCATAAAAACATGCTGATTTCTTCTTGATGAGCCTACATGATACTATTTTTTTTCTGAGTACATTTTTGCTGTTGATCAGCCTGGGCAAGACAGTTTGTCCAGCTGTTGCCCTGTTGAAAGACAGACAGCTGTATTGATGAGCTCATGATTTCATGTTCATTCAGACTGAATTCCTAGTAAATGCGTAGAAAACTGAAATGATGAGGCGGAGCCTTTAACTGTACTTTGTCTTGTCCACTTACCACTTTCAAGAGTGACAGCTGCACTCAGCACTTCATCCATGCCAACTAAGTTTCACCAGGTTATTGGCTCAAGGCTATTTTTCCCCCAGTAACTTTAGATGGAATAGTGTGAAACCATTAGCCTGACCATGTATTACATCACAAGGCAAACAAAACAGGACTCGCGCATAAAGAAATTGCCTAACTCGATGAGAGGTCAAAGCTCCACAGAAAACTTGTAATAGGTAGTGCTCATGATGTGTTCTTGTAGAATAAATCATGACGTGATTGCAGCATTACTTTCAGTGTTTACTGACTCTATTTTATAAAGATCAAACACAGGTTTAGGAGTCCCACACTTGCGTTGTGTACTATGTAATTCTTCACATTCTGCTCTGTCTTAAATTTCATTTTCACTCCTTAATCCCTGACCTCTGATTCCACAGGAACTACTTTGGAGAGAAGGTCGGCCTTTACTTTGCATGGCTGGGTGTTTACACTCAGCTGCTAATTCCAGCCTCCTTAGTGGGGATCATTGTGTTTTGCTACGGGGTGGCAACAGTGGATACTGATATACCCAGGTATACACATCGATGTACACAAGCTTTAAATTCACTTCAAAAGTCCCTAGTTTTTACTACAAACTGTATTGCAGCTTCAGTTGTATAAGAAAGATTATTGTAAAATCTCACATTTAAGTTGAAATAATGTGCAAGAAAATGAACAAAGCTCATTGGAAACTTTACCTTTTTTCCTATAACACATCTATTCGGTTGAATAGAATAAAAATAAAATATTTGTCTGACACCACCGACGGTGACATTGAGTGGAAAAATGTGATTTTTACTTCAAACGATAAGGCCAGTCATTTTCTATATTAATTTTCAACACATCATATTTTCAGCATTCCCCATACTGATACTAAAACCAACAATGATTTGCCTCTGCTCATGATTAATGTATGTCACTCCTGGATGATCTTATTTGTCTGTACCATAGACGTCCACTGATGTTCAAAAACGATTAAAAACACATCAGGGAACCACACCGCTGCACTTAGTGACATATTTCCTCATATGAAACACAAGACCCTAATATTTTTTAAGAATATCCAGTGATCTTGTGCATGGGCCTTTGACTCATGCTTGCTTCAGATGCTGTAAAAAGTTACGATTGTGCTGAGGCTTAGAGGCAACATTTAAAACAATTTCGGTCTAGTGTTTTGTAATGTAGAAAACCAGTGCAGTGGTGTGATTCACCGATGTGTTCTTAATTGGTTTTTAACATCAATGGAGGTCTATGGTACACACAAATAAACTAGTCCAGTTCTGACATACTGACAGTGGTTAACCATGAAAAGAGGCTAGGGCTGGGTATCAGTCCAAAATTTTTGATACCAGTACTGATACAGATACCTTGATACCGGCTCCTAAATTATACTTTTTCTGATACCAATTTTATAAGATCGATTAAAAAAAAAAAACACATATACATCTCATCATCATCAACAACAAAGTCAGTCATCAATCTGAGGCCTAAGGAGTTGTGGTACCAAGTGCACTTGTGAACCACCCTGTGCTCAAACATGGTGGTCATTATGGCCAATCCATGACTAGCACAGAAGCATGAACAGAGCACCATTTGGGTTCAGATCGGGCAGGCCGTTCCTCCCAATCAACCCCTTCCAGGTTTCTCCATCATTGCCCAGGTGAGCGTTGAAGTCTGCCAGTAGAAATATGGGGTCCCCAGGTGGTGCCCCCTTGAGGGCAAGGCCCAGCAACCGGATGATCACCATTGAGCTCCCTTCCCAAGTCTGGCTTCAGCAGGGTGCCACAGTTTCCCTAATCCATGCAAGGTAGCACAACTCAAAGTGGCCATTTTCATCAGGGATTTGAATTGCTCTTAGTCTGGTACCAGAACACCTGAAGCCTCAGATTGATGATCGACTTTGCTATTGTATCATCTGATCTGCAGCTGCATGTTTTGGACACTCAGGTGAAGAGAGGAGTAGAGCTGTTAACTGATCACCACCTAGTGGTGAGTTTGATCAAATGGCAGGGGAGGATGCAGGACAAACCTGGTAAACCCAAATGTATAGTGAGGATGAGCTGGGAATGCCTGGTTGAGGCCCCTATGAATAAGGTCTTCAACTCACACCTCCAGAAGAATTTCTCTCACATCCTGGGGGAGGCTGGGGATATGGAATCCGAATGGGCCATGTTCAAATCCTCCATTTTAGAAGCAGCTACTCTGAGTTGTGGCCAGAAGGTGGCTGGTGCCTGTCATGGTGGCAACCTGAGAACTCGCTAGTGGACGCCAGTGGTGAAGGAAGCTGTTAGAAGAAGAAGAAGGAGACCTCCCAAGCTTGGTTGGTCCAGGGGTCTTCTGAAGCAGTTGATAGGTACCCGCAGGCCAAAAGGGCTGCAGCTCAGATGGGTGCAGATGTAACAACTTGGGTGTGGAAGGGGTTTGGGGAGGTTATGGAAAAGGACTTTTGGCTGGCCTCAAGGAAGTTCTAGCAAACCGTACTACAGCTCAGAAAGGGGAAGCAGGGCTTGGCCTAGGCTGTGTTTGGCAGTGGAGGAGAACCGCTGGCTAGGATTGGGTATATCATCAGGCAATGGAAGTAGGACTTTGAGGATCTCCTGAACTTGTCTGACAGGTGCTCCAAGGAGAAGGCAGATCTGGAAGACTCAGGGGAAGCCTCATCCATATCTCTGGTAGAGGTCTCTGAGGTAGTCAAAAAGCTCCTTGATGTCAAGACTCCAGGAGTGGATTCACCCTGAACTCCTGAAGGCTCTGGACACAGCTGGGCTGTCTTTGTTGACATGCCTTTTCAATGTCGCGTAGAGGCCAGGGACAGTGCCTGACGACTGGCAGACTGGGGTGGGACCAGAGAGTGTGCTCCAGTTATTGGCATCTCACACTACTCAGCCTCCTTGGGTAAGCCTATGCCAGGGTGCTGGAGAGGAAGCTCCAACCAATTTGTCAAACCTCAGATTCAGGAGAAGCAATTGGAATTCTGTCCTGGTTGTGGAACAGTGGACCAACTCTTTACTCTTGCAAGGTTACTGGACTGATCTTGTGAATTTGCCCATCCAGTCTACATGTGCTTTGTGTACTTGGAGAAGGCCTACGACAGGGTCCCTTATGGGATCTTTAGGAGTATGAGGTACTGGTTTTGTTGATACAAGCCATACGTTCCTTGTATAACCAGAGTGAGAGTTGTGTACGCATAGTTTGAAAGAAGTCAAAATGTACCCAGTTTGTGTTGGCCTTTGTCAGAGTTGTCCCATGTCACCAATACTGTTTGTGATTTTCATGGACAGGATCTCAAGGTGCAGCCAGGGGGAGGAGAGTGTCTGGTTCGGGGACTTCAGAATTGCATCTTTGCTGTTTTCTGCCTTTTTCAGACTGTTAACTCCAGCATGCACTGGGGCAATTTGTAGCTGACTGTGAAGCAGCAGGGATGAGACTGGGCACGTTCAAGTCTGAGGCCATGGTGCTCTGCTGGAAAATGGTGGACTGTTCCTTCTGGATTGGGAATGAGTTGCTGCCCCAGGTGAAGGATTCTCAGGGTCTCGTTCATGATTGTGAAAAAATGGACTGTGAAATTGACAAGCAGACAGGGGCAGCATCAGCAGTAATGCAGACGTTATACCAGACTGTCATGGTGACGAAGGAGCTGAGCAGAAAGTAAAAGCTCTCAATTTAAAAGTCTACGCTCCAACTCTCACCTATGATTGCGAGCTATGGGCAGTGACCGAAAGAATAAGATTGTGAATGGAAGCAACCAAAATGAGTTTCCTTCACAGGGTGGCCGGACTTAGCCTTAGAGATAGGGTGCACAGTTTGGACATCTGGAAGGAGCTCAGAGTAGAACTGCTGCTCCTTCACGTTGAAAGGTGTCAGTTGAGGTGGTTCAGGCATCTTGTCAGGATGCCTCCAGGGTGCTTCCCTGTGGAGGTTTTCCAGGCACGTCCAAGTGGTAGGAGACCCTGGGGTGGACCCAGAACATGCTGGAGAGATTAAATATTTCTCTAGCTTGGAAGTGCCTCAGAATCCCACCACAGAAACTGGAAAATGTTTCCAGGGAGAGGGGCCTCTGGGCTACCTTGCTGAACCTGTTGCCACCACAACCCAATCTCAGATCAGTGGAAGGAAATGGGTGGTTGAATGGGAATATATTCTCCATCTATCTATGTATATCTATACATACTGTACCAACCTGCGCATTGCCTGGATTAACTGCAAGAAAGCCTATGACTCAATGCCTCACACATGGATCCTGGAATGCTTGGAACTGTACAACATCAACAGGACGCTAAGAGCCTTCATCAAGAACTCAATGGGAATGTGGAAAACAACCCTAGAGGCCAACTTCAAGCCAAATGCATCATCAACTGCAGTATTTACCAAGGAGATGCTCTGTCCCCGCTGTTGTTCTGCATAGGGCCGAACCCCTTAAGCCAGATCATCACCAAGAGTGGTTATGGATACCGACTTCGGAATGGAGCAACCATCAGCTGCCTCCTCTACATGGATGACATCAAGCTGTATGCCAGGAGTGAACGAGACATCGACTCACTGATCCACACCACTAGGATCCATAGCCAGAACATCAGAATGTCATTCGGACTGGATAAGTGTGGTCGAATGGTAACACGGAGAGGAAGGGTAGTCAGAACTGAGGGGATTGTACTACCAGAAGGCAACATAGCAGATGTTGAGGGCAGCTACAAGTACCTTGGGACAAATGGGAACCATGAAGAGGCCGCAAGGAAAGCAGCAACTACCAAGTACCTGCAGAGAATAAGGCAAGTCCTGAGAAGTCAGCTGAATGGAAAGAACAAAGTCCGAGCAATTGACATCTACGCCCTGCTGGTCATCAGGTACCCCGCTGGCATAATAAGCTGGCCGAAGGAGGAGATAGAGGTCACTGACATCAAGACAAGGAGGCTCCGTATGCACGGAGGATTTCACCCCAAATCCAGCATTCTGAGACGGTACACTAAGCGGAAGGAAGGAGGCTGAGGATTAGTGAGCGTCAGAGCAACTATCCAGGATCAAACAACAAAGATCCATGATTACATCAGGAAGATAGCCCCGAGTGATGACGGGCTTAGCAAATACCTCAGACACTATCTACTATCGGATAGAAGAAGTGGCTGATATTGAAAAATCCTACCAGTACAAATACTTATGACCATGTGATTTCAGTTTTTCTTTTTTAATAAATCTGCAAAAATGTCAAAAATTCTGTGTTTTTCTGTCAATATGGGGTGCTGTGTGTACATTAATGAGGAAAAAAATGAACTATATATGTGTGTGTGTGTGTGTGTGTGTGTATATATGTGTATATATATATATATATATATATATATATATATGTATATATATATGTATATGTAATATAATCTCAAAATTTGTTTTTTAAATCCTTGGCATTTTTGTACATAAAAAGGAAACTAAAACCTTAAGTTCTGTTAACATCAGTAAATAAAAATGTAGAAAAGCATTTTTCGATATTCCACACATCTCGATGATATTGAAGTAATTTGGTCCATGCCATAAGGTTCAATATCCAGCACTAGAAGAGGCAAATCATTGTTGGTTTTAGTCTCTGTGTGGAGAGTGTTAAAAATGCTGTTAATATAGAAAATGACTGGTCTTATCCTTTAAAGACACTAAATGATAAAGGCAAACTAACTAAAAGGATGTAAAAAAAAAAAAAAAACAAGATTTTAATTGTACAGTACGTGTACATGCTTATACATATATGAGACAGGGATGGGCTGGTTAACTGCTGTATCTGGTTTTAGTCAAAACTTAGTGGGAGGCACACAGAAGGTATGGCTGACTGTGCGTGTGTGTCTGTGTGTGTGTGGCTGAGTGAGTGGTATCATGAAGCAAAAGGCTGATTATTCAGCCCACATTTACTAAGGATAGGGTCAAAGAAGAGAAGCTTTTATTGTGGTCATGTGTTAAAAGTTCCATTAATTTGCATTGGTTAAATGCTAAGACGGAATGATAGATGACAGTGAAGAGCTTCAGTTTCAAAACACCATTGTGACTCAATTCTTGATTTTCTCCCTGCTCAGTCTGGAGATGTGTGACGAGCAGCATAATTTCACCATGTGTCCTCTGTGTGACGCGGGCTGTGACTTCTGGCATCTCAGGACTGCATGTGCCACAGCCAGAGCTTCACATTTCTTTGACAACCCTGCCACAGTCTTCTTCGCCATCTTCATGTCTTTGTGGGGTGAGGTTATGTGTGTGTCATATAGAGGGAGAGAACACGTGGGCTAAATTAGAAGTTGCTCATTAATATCTTATGATCTCATACACTTCAAGTTTAAGTTTACACCTCAGGTTTAGGCCTCGGTCAGGGCAACAGGCTAAAACAGCATGCATTAAAGATTAACAAATGCAGAGAATACATGTAGGATTGAATAGAATTGAAAATAGAATTGAAAGCACAAACACTATGGTACTGCATAGTTTTTTCAATACTCGGATACATGATCTGCATCTTGCATTTAAGCATTAAGTATTTAAAATACATCTGGTAGTCATGTCTGTAAATACGATACAAGTTTTAAAGACCAAATTATGTTTTGTATATGTGTAGCGGTGCTATTCCAGGAAAACTGGAAGCGTCGTCAGATGAGTCTCTCCTTCAGATGGGATATGACGGGTGTCGAGGAGGATGAGGTACATACTATATACATGCACACACTCACTTGAATAAAATCACTTGTGCATATGTAGACACTACTAGCCTTATAAATGGACAGACATGAATTTGAAGGTCTGAATCCTCACATATAGTAATATGTAAATGAATATTAACATATGCAGGTACAAACTCATCAACCATAACAAAACAGTTCTACACAATTGCAAATTACTAGTTTTCACTATTTTTCTGAACATTGTGCCAATGTTTTGCCTAAAGTCTTTTAGGATTATTAATTCCTACAATATCAGTATTTATTATAAGTAGCTACAGTATCTTTAAGGCAAATTGTAGCAATAAAGGCAACTAAAACACTTAGTTAAGAGTAATGAAAGATTGCCATTGTGGCTTTAAAGAGAAAGTCATTCACTCTATAGCCTTTTCATCTGGCTCCCTTCTGCATTGGGACTGAATTTATGCACCACACATACACACAGAGCATTTGTACTTGTGAAAACCTGCAGAAAGCCTACAGATACACACACATGAGCATGTACATATTATCCATAACACTTTCTTTGATTTTTTGCTCAGGAACATCCCAGACCAAAATATGAGACCACCCTCCTTCAGAAGAGACAGAAGAAGCAAAAACAGAAGAAAAAGAAGAAAAAGAATGAGGTAGGGGAGATTAGAAACCTTTGTTGTTAATTGCTTAGGATCACAAATTATGAACTCCACTCTTAGTTGGACCTGACTGCCAAAAACATTACTGGAAAGGTATTAATTTAATTCAATTCAATTGTATAGTGCCAATTAACAACAACAAATCTCCCTTGAGCAAGCACTTAGTGATGGTGGGGAGGAAAAACTCCCTTTAATGGAAGAAACCTCCAGTAGAACTCCTGATGGGTGGCCTTCTTCCTTGACCAGTTGGGGTGAGCTGATAGAGGAGAGAGAAAAGTATCTTGCACGGTATCTTGGCTGCTCCTAGGACTGCACTCTTCTGGACAGTGATCTCAGAGGTTATTCCTGGAATCTGTTGGAGCCTCTCATTATTATGGCATGGTGCAAAAGTTTGGGCACCCTACACAATCAGTACTTAGTAACACCTCCTCTGGCAGATATCACAGCTTGCAAACGCTTTTCATAGCCAGCTAAAAGTCTTTCAATTCTTGTACTTGGGATCTTCTCCCATTCTTCCTTGCAAAAGGCTTCTAGTTCTGTAATATTCTTTGGTCGTCTTGCATGCACAGCTCTTTTAAGATCTACCCACAAATTTTCAATGATGTTTAAATCAGGGGACTGTGATGGCCATTCCAAAACCTTCAGCCTGCGTCTCTTGAGGTATTCCATAGTGGATTTCGAGGTATGTTTAGGATCATTGTCCTGTTGTAGAAGCCATCCTCTTTTCAGCTTCAGCTTTTTTACAGATGGTGTGATGTTTGCTTCCAGAATTTGCTGGTATTTAGTGGAATCCATTCTTCCCTCCACCCGTGCAATGTTTCCTGTGCCACTGGCTGGAACACAACCCCCGAGCATGATAGATCCACCCCCATGCTTAATAGTTGGCAAGGTGTTCTTTTCATGAAATGCTGCTCCTTTTTTTCTCCAAACATGCCTTTGCTGATTGTGTCCAAAGAGTTCTATTTTAACTTCATCAGTCCACAGCACTTGTTTCCAAAACGCATCGGGCTTCTGTAGATGTCCTGTTGCATACTTCAGATGTTGGATTTTATGATGGGGACGCAGATAAGGTTTTCTTCTGCTGACTCTTCCATGAAGGCCTTGTCTGTGCAAGCATCGCTGCACAGTGGAACGGTGCACCACCACTCCTGAGTCTGCTAAATCTTCCTGCAGGTTTTTTGCAGTCAAATGGGGGTTTTGATTTGTCTTTCTGACCAGCATACGAGCAGTTCTGTTCGAGAGTTTTCTTGGTCTTCCAGATCTCATCTTGACCTCCACAGTTCCCCTGATCTGCCATCTCTTAATTACATTTCTTACTGTGGAAACTGCAAGCTGACAACGCTTTGCTATCTTCTTGTAGCCTTCTCCTGCATTGTGGGCGTCAATAACTTTCATTTTCAGGGTCTTACACAGCTGCTTAGAGGAACCCATGGTTGCTGGGTGTCCACAAGTGTGTGCACAAGGTTTGAAGAGTCAAAGTATTTGTACAGCTTTGAAATTGGCATTTACCAATGACAGCTGTTGCTGTGCATCAGATCTAACGAGCTGATTAAGGTCTGATACCTTGTGAGAGACTTTGAGACTCTGGAACTCTTAGGGTGCCCAAACTTTTGCACCATGCCATAATAATGTTTTTATTTTTTATTTTTGTTCAATTTATGGCATAAGAAGTAACTATGCATCACTGTTTGCAGAAAATATTGTGCATTTTTTCCATTTCCAGGAGAAACTGTGTTAACATCTGTTCAAATAAAAAATCACCAAAATCTGTTATTTATCAAGGGGTGCCTAAACTTTTGCATAAGACTGTACTCTCTCTCTCTCTCTCTCTCTGTGTGTGTGTGTGTGTGTGTGTGTGTGTGTGTGTGTGTGTGTGTGTATATATATATGTATATGTGTTGAAGATTTTATTTATTAAGGGGGAAAAAAGCTATCTGAACTTACAGTACATGGCCCTATGTGGAAAAAGTAATTGCCCCCTCCCCCTTGTTAAATCATGAATTTACTGTGGTTAATCACATGTTTTGGCAAGCTGAGTAGGCCTGCTTACTACCAGACCTGCTGAATCAAGAAATCTTATAAATAGAACCTGAATACTTAACTGCATTTTGTATTCACTTGGGTTATCTTTGTCTAATATTTAAATTTGTTTGATGATCTGAAACATTTAAGTTTGACAAATATACAAAAAAATAAGAAACCAGGAAGGGGGCAAATGCTTTTTCACAGCACTGTCTTCCTAGGAACAGCTAAGATACTGCGCAGGACCCTCAGGCTCCCAGGCCTCTGATAGAGGACCCGAGCTTGAAGGAAGAAATAAGACTGCCCCGAAGTGGAGCAAGTGGGGAATATATATATGTGTGTGTGTGTATTACACATGGACATACACAGCATTTATTCTACATACGTAACACTAGTCAGTAATCCAATACTATTCCATATAATCAGTCAATAATGCACAATTAAATGTTATAAGGAATGGGACAGTATTCATATCGAAGCTCTGTATAAGAGTTAAACAATGTTTACATATTATTTAGCCCCAAAGAGGGGGATCTCTCTTGTTATTTCCTGTCACTACTCTGGCTGCAGCATTTTGGATTAAATGGAGGGTTTTTAGGGACTTATTTGTTGATCCTGATAGTAAAGAATGACAGTAGTCCATCCTGGAAGTAATAAATGCATGGACCAGTTTTTCAGTATCACTTTGATTCAGGATGTTCCTAATTTTAGCAATATTGCATAGGTGAATCAAGGCAATTCTAGAGACTTGGATTATGTGTGAGTTTAAGGACATACAGTATCTTGGTCAAAAAAGTTTCTCACAGTAGTACTGGAGGCCAGGGCTATGCCATCTAGAGTAACTATATGGTTAGATACCATCTTTCTGAGGTTTTTAGGCCCAAATACAATGACTTCAATTTTGTCTGCATTTAAATGTAGGAAATTAAAAGTCATCCAGGCCTTTATGCCTTTAAGATATACTTGAAGTTTGACCAACTGATCAGATTCATCTGGGTTCACAGATGAATATAAATACACAGCAATACTCATTGTTATTTTATAATGTACAGCAAATGATTACACTCATTTGAAATATGATTGGGTTTGAAAATTACACTATGCATTTCCATCATCTCTCATGATTACACTAAGTACATGCAAATAGAAATTTCTGTGGACTATATACCGATTCTGTTGGGACAACACACTGTCATGATTGATCATGAAACTCCTCCGCTTGGGTCATTCTTCACCATTGGCATTAGATGGTTCCTGAACTGGTTTCTAATGCACACAGCAAATTTTACTGTAATAATCAAATAATTTATGGATAATCTCCCCTGTAAAATGTGTATTGGAAATGACTACAATTTATGATTAATAATACCTCATTAGATTAGGGCACCAAGCTTTATAACGTAACATACACGTTAATCAATAAACAGTTAATTTATTTACTCTCCTCTGAAAGTAATGCATTTATTACGGTGCTCAAGAGGACTAGGACCAGAATGCAGACCAGGACTCAGTAAAAGAAAGTCTTTATTGACAGCAAAAGGTAGAAAAAACTGGAGTATAACTCAGGTGAGTCAGGCAGGCAGGGGAGACTTATGTGGAGCTGGGGGCGAGGCGGGGAACACTTAAGTGGGAGCTGGGGACAAGGCAGGCAGGCTCAAGGAACACAGGTAAGTAGCAGACACAAGACTGGATAAGACTCACATAAGACTGGATAAGACTCACACAATGAAATAGCGTCGGAGTGAAACCAGGCATGTACAAGGGACACAGGTGAGTACTCAACACAGGACAGGAGAAGGCCTTACTCGTTATCGGGGATAACAGGAGAGCTGAGTGAGAAGTACAGGAGCTAGCCAGGAAGTGGCGTGGAGCACTGGCGAGTATAGTCACAGATTAGACATGGACTTACTCTCCATCATGGAGCAGGTCAGCTGAGTGCAGAGGTTACAGACGAGGTGCTGGTTGTCATTGGAACAAGAAAACTTCAACAAAATATGTTACTTGGACCATCTGGACATGGTGAGAGCAACGAAGCAAACTAGTAAGGTCTCGAGACAGAGTAAACCTCAGGAGTTATGGAAACTGCATAATGGACCAGCGAGTGACTGAGGAAAAGGAGGTTGTATATATGGTTGAAAAATCAGAGGATGATTAACAGCAGGTGAGGACAGTGAGCACTGATTGAAACCATAGAAAAGCTGGGGTAGGACAGGTGGAGCGGAGCTGGAAAGAAAACCAAAATAAAAGCCCGAACACAAGAAGCAAAGCTAAACATAACAGAATTCTCAGTTCAATGACCAAGATACTGGGAATAAAAGAGACAGAAGATGACATGAGAAAGTTAGTTATAAGCTAAATAGTTTTATTTACAATATGTACAAAAAGTAGAAAAGATTGGCATGTGATATACCTGACATAGTACAGCAAAACAAAAAGGATGAGTGGATTTGGTAAATGAATGAATGGACAAGTTATGGTTAGTGATGGTGGAAAATGAGTTAAAATTGTCTAAAGTCACATTAGAGTTTGGATCTAAATCTTATGATTTAAATTATAATTTGGAGGAAAAAATAATTACGTTTTTGTAAGTTATGGGCTCTAATTTAGAAGCAACTATGGTTTATGAGATATCAACCAGCCATTAGCTCTGAAGATTCCATGTGGTCAAGAAAGGGAAGAGAGGAATTGAAAAGCACTTGTTTTGGAGCCCTGAAAAACAAAGGACAAAACACAAAATCCACGGGAGTGCCCATAACGCCAAAAACAGGGCACTGCTACAAGAACAGGGGTGGCCAGATTCTCAGGCATCGGCCGCCACGAACAGCCACTCATGGGCGGACCAGAGACCAGGCCAGGAGCAGGAGAAGCAGGAGGAGTAGGGAGGACAGCCATGGAACCAGACAGCAGTTTGGACAGGCTTGGGAGGATGGCCTCGGAACCAGGCAGGGGGCTGCAGAAAGGGCCGTTCAGGAGGATGGCCACGGAAGCAGGCAGAAGGCCATTCAGGAGGGCAGCTGTGGACCTGAAGAGGTTGCTGACTGGGGTTATGCTAGCAGATGAAGAGCTGATTGACAGGGCAGAAGCTGGGGCCGAGGCAACATTGGCCCACTCAGGAACTGGGAGCAGGGTGGCGTTGTTGTCGACCCATTCGGGAGCTGGGAGCAGGGGGGGCATCGTCACTGACCCACTTAAGAGCTGGGAGCAGGGGAGGCATCATCGTCAACCCACTCGGGAACTGGGAGCAGGGTGGTGGTGGCATCGAAACAGTCGACCCACTGAAGAGGAGGGATGGAGGAGGCGTCGAT